CATTATCTCATCATTAGTCATTACGGGATATCCCATAATGTGATCATTAGTAATTAACCAGATCATCCCACAGTAATGATCATTAGTGATTAACTAGATTATCCCATAGTATGATCATTAGTAATTAACCTGATTATCCCACAATAATGATCATTAGTAATTAACTAGATTACCCCACACTAATCATCATAGTAATTAACCAGATTATCCATAATATAATCATTAGTAATTAACCTGATTATCCCACAATAATGATCATTAGTAATTAACTAGATCATCTCACACTAATCATCATTAGTAATTAACCTGATTATCCCACACAATATAATCATTAGCAATTAACCTGATTATCCCACACACACTAATCATCATTAGTAATTAACCAGATCATCCCATAACTAATCATCATTAGTAATTAACCAGATCATCCCATAACTAATCATCATTAGTAATTAACCAGATCATCTCACACTAATCACCATTAGTAATTAACTAGATTATTCCATAATATGATCATTAGTAATTAACCTGATCATCCCACAATATGATCATTAGTAATTAACCAGATCACCCCACACTAATCATCATTAGTAATTAACCAGATCATCCCACACTATCATCATTAGTAATTAACCAGATTATCCCACACTGAGTTCATTAGTAATTAACCAGATTATCCCATCTAATCACCATTAGCAATTAACCAGATCATCCCATACTAATCATCATTAGTAATTAACCTGATTATCCCACAATAATGATCATTAGCCATTAACCTGCCTGATTATCCCCGTTAGTATTAGTAATTAACCTGATTATCCAGATAATGATTGTTAGTAAATTAACCAGACCAGGCAGTTTGTCCCAATATAACTATTAGCAATTAACCCACATTATAATGGTCGGTAGCCATTAGCAAAGGTTAAATCTAGGCCGAATTCGTGGCTTTTAGCCAAATTATTTTACTTAGCAGATGCCGATGTTGGAACATTCGGTGCAAATGTTTCCGCCAGTTGGCTTGAAACGCAGTATCTCTTACAGTCATTGGCAGATTCAATCGTTCCCTTCCTGCTGGCGTAATTGTACGAGCAAACCAAGAGTCGGCTGTCCAGAGAAAGCTTGCTAAATTATTAGTATTGGCAGGGATCATTCTATAATAATAATCATTAGCTATTGACCTGATAAACCGGCTTGGCCGTGACAATTATTGTACCGTAATTAATGAAAAAATAAATAAACATCCAGATTAACACTGTGATGATTAAATTTATAGTTTAAGTGTAATACATTAAAGGAGGGAAGAATTAATTAATTTAACAAATTCTGTTTAGGAAAAATACCGTTTGCAAAATTGTATTAAAATAATAATAAAAATAGGATACCGTCTGTGAGACAAATTTATCAATTTATTTACAATGCTTGGTGTATATTCAATGTTTTTATTTTACGTTGTTTCTGGATAATATTATTGCTGAGTCTTAGTGGTAAAGTATTATACGCACGCAATGCGATGCTACTTTTCGATTACACTTTTACTTAGATTCACTACATCATTATAAAGCGGACTTATTTACAATCATTATTAAAAGATTAGAACCGTCTATTATCAATCAGACAATAACAAGCTTTTATTAAATATATAAGTAATAACTATCGAAAAATACATGTATTATTTTGCTCCATCACCATCCTTGTTCTGCTCTACCAGCGTAGCGATCTCATTCAAAGCACCACGAACAAGAACAAATCAATATTCTCAGATAGAAATTTTGCAGAAGGCACGATCAATCACAATGAAGTAAGGCAGCAGCCTCGGAAACAGCCTTAAGCACCAAAACTGTTAAAGTATGAAATTATTTAAAATGACTTTCTTTCTCCCAAAAAATCAACCTGTATTGATAATCGATGTTTTTGCAGATTGGACTACCAACGAAAAGGCTAAACACAAGGCTGCTAAACCCGAAAGTTTAACGAAACCTCAGATAGGCGTTCCGACAGCAAAGCGTTCATTGTCAGCGTAATGTTTTTACGAAAGAATTTTTTCAAAAACAAACGTCGATGGCAATTGATCTTATCGTATTGTCTTTTCTTTTTCTTTTTCTTTTTCTTTTTTAGAATCTACAGCACTAATGAGTATTGTTTCGGATTATTTGAGGAAACACACAGACATAATTATCGAAGGCCTTGTTGGCTTCCAGAGAACAAACCGAATTGCTGCACATGCATATAATAAGCTAAGTGCCAGCGAAGAAAATCACTAAAAGGGGCAGGCCGATCGGTTGATCCAAGAAACTAAAGATGATAATTTATTATGCAATTACGCATTAATATAGATAATTTAATAGCAATAATAAACCGTTAATATAGCTTCCGAAAATTTTATTACGGATAAGATACCAGACAATTTGTAATTAACTCCGTGTTGGAGACAGTTTACAAGCAAGTATGCAAGACATTACTGTGCATACATGGTTTATTTTTGTCGAATATTTTTGTCAAATATTTACCTGACTGAAATTTGTATACCAACAGTTTGGAATTCTCAGTATACAAAAATGCCACGCCATTCTCGTTGTGTGCGATGGCAAGCACAGAGAATTTACGTTACAATGTGGCTCTGGTACTCAAGTGGTTGAAACCTGGAAAAGAGCTCAGTTAGAGCCGAACACACCAATCGAAGCGGAAGGCTTAAGTGCTAACACAAAAGCTCGAGCAGAACGTTACGATTTGCAACGTTTGAATCGGAAGAAGAAGGTAAATCCTTTTGTAACTCTTTTTTTCTTTTTCCTAAAAAATTTAACTTGTTTTTTGAAAAATTGACGTCTTATTGATACACACTTACAGATGCAAGCGATTTGACAGGTGAGGAATACAGCAGTAAGTAATGATAGAACTAGCGATGATACTGTCAGTGAGGAAGGATAGCAATGCGGAAGAGCATGAGAATGGTAAGCCCGTTACATTGCATTGCTCATGAATAAGTACAGTGTTCAGAAATAAACTAACACTTTCTTTTTATTATTTCAGAAGCTGCACTAACGCCTGAAAGCTTGGAGGAAATTTTTGTTAGACACTCTAAAAGATTGGAGGAGAAAAAAAGATCGTAGTACAACAACAGAATAAAGTTTACTATTTATATACGTTATTGTAATGCAACCATCTATTATACAGTTACACAATGTTAGGAATGCTAGAACATACTTGGATTATTATGGTTTCACCGACGATTTCCTTAATATTCTTGTTAGTTCAACTTCTCTCTAAACTTGGAAATTTGATCTACATAACTTCCCATCCCCGGATTACATTTGTTACCATGATGACCAACTTCATCGCCAACAACACAATTCAGCATTGATTAGATTAATGTGCACTACGTAAAGACAGGCTAGGCATATCACTTTGAACATGATAAGAAACACATCATGCATAGCATAAACCTTTAAACCTTTTAACACACTAATGTATATGCTTACGAACCCATGTTCGTTTTTTCGACTCGTACTCTGCAATATTGATATAAATGTTGGCACCTAGTTAATTTAGGTTATTAAAAACGCTTGATCAATACAGTAAAAAACTTCATCGTACAAAATCCTAATTGACGTCTGTCAACCGAATGTTGAGATCTATATTGAGAATGTTTCGGCTCTTTTTGTAGGGTTAATATAAGGTATATTATTTGATACTGAGTCAAACCCAATCGTGCAGTACTGTGATCGTTGTGGTATAATACGTAAGTGATAAGAAATAGAGTCGTCTGTGTTAACAACATGTACAAACACTGATTCGATATCAACAAAATTTACGACATACTCTTCAAATATTCGGCCAAAAGTTACTATTAAGTCAACGATTTAACCCATGCAAAGGTGTTAAGAAAGACGATTGTTTTTACAGAGATGTAAATTTGACTACAGTGCAAGACGAAAGTTTGTAGTGAACATCGTAAAAGTTCCGACGTCGTAACTTTATTATAAGATCTTCATCAACGTATTTGTTAATAATTAAACGATTGGAAAAAATTTACCATACCCAATGAAGATAATGTTGTGCAATTATTGCAGCGTTATAAATTTCTGACTTGAATAGTCTAGGCATGAGTAGATGAGATCGAATTAGAGATTTTACTACGATAGCTGTCCTTTTCTTTATTGACAAAGAAAGCACACACTAACGGTGATGTAGTGGTTTGTAAGGGAAGTGGCATATATTTTTATTGCATCAAGAACGGATCGGCAAAGTGTAAGATAATTTGACTAGTTAATATATAGAATTCGAGTGGAACGAATACTGTATATCGTCTTTTCCAGCATTAGACCACAGTGTTGTATGGTCATGTCATGTATGTCTCCTGAATGACGATCATATAACGCGGTGTGACTTTGGATTTCTAATTTTATGCACCTGCAGCTCACGCAACCAATAATCAGCCGCCGGTTTAAATTTATCCGATCACCTGCATCAATTACTGCATTTTTATTGGGCGAACAGCTCGGCACATATTATACATATGTAAATGTTTTTGTCAAGACGCCATGTCTACGTATGTTGATATAGAAAGTTCTTGAAGTATATGATTTTGTTAAACAAGCAACTGAGCAAAAACAAGACAGCTAACTTCAATGCTCGTTCGCCCAATAAAAATGCAGTAATTGATGCAGGTGATCGGATAAATTTAAACCGGCGGCTGATTATTGGTTGC